CACCTCCATTATTCTCATATATATATATATATATATATATATATATATATATATATAGAGAGAGAGAGAGAGAATATATGAGCAATATGGGTATGCTTGGTACCAAGCACAAAAAGTTGTGCTTGGTAGTGATGTGTCACATCCCCCTCCACTCATTCAAATATGAGACCACATTTACATGAGTAGTGAGTGGATGAGGATGTGACACATCACTACCAAGCACACAATTTATGCTTGGTGTTTTCCTCAAAAGTTGGTTTTGTCATGGAATTCATTATATCTTCGGTCGATTACAATAAATTCAAAAAAAGATAGCCTTTTTATAAGACTTCTTTTACACAACAAAATGAAAATTACAACTCTTGGGAAACAAACGCAGGATCGTTGTTTGGATCACTGCGCGTGGGATCTTTGCCTGTGCCGGGGGTGCGTTAGCCAGTGGATCACCAAATCACAGATTCTGATCGAATTGTGAGGGGTTTATGATTCTGACTTCGTTTATCGAAGTGAGAACTTGAAACGATATCTTATCAAGGTAAGATAGTCGTTCTTCTTGAAATCAAGTCAAAGCCTGAATATCAAGGAGTTACAGAAGCTCGAGTACTCTGCCCTCTCTGCTCTGAAATCAGCCTGTGGATGCTCTCTGATCAGCCTCCTTTCAAAATGGCCTTCGGGGGGTATTTATAGCCCCTAGGAACAGTTGGCAGAAAACAAAATCGCGAGACAGCATTTGCTGTCTCGGCTGCCGAGACAGTGTTTGCTGTCTCGGCGGGCGAGACAGTGTTTGCTGTCTCGGCGGGCGAGACAGTGTTTGCTGTGTCTCGGCCCGCCGAACAGTTAAACGCTTATCTCGGAAATACAGTAACTGTCGGCCAGTTGTTCGTTTTAACTGTCTCCCACGTTTCAACTCGTTGACTTTGGCAGATTATCCACGTGATTTCTCGCCCACGACGTTTCCCAGTTCTTGAACAGTTAGTGGCCACATGTAGGGCAGTTACAAAGCGGTTTGACCATCGAAAACTGTCATCACGGGCGAGACAGTAAATTCTGTCTCGCACGGCGAGACAGTTAAAAAAAGAACTGTCTCGCGTGGGCGAGACAGTAAAACTGTCTCTCGGAGGTAAATCTCGCCCGCCGAGACAGTAAAGACTGTTCTCGCTGTCGCCGAGACAGGTAAAGACTGTCCCGTCGGGCGAGACAGTAAAAGACGTCTCGTCGCGAGACAGTAAAGACTGTCGTCCGTCCAGCCGAGACAGTAAAGACTGTCTCGCCTGCGAGACAATCTATACTTGTGTTTTTTTTTTTGATATTTTGGATGACTTCCTTTTGAGCTGTGTTTGAATATCTTTCAGCATTTTTTGACGCCTACAGATACCCCCTCCAAAGTATTCCAGACTCAATCTTTTATAGAGGAGTTCTGGGATGCTTTGGATAAGATAGGTATTACTTATGATCCTTTCCATGCTTGGTTGGGTAGATCGTATAGAAGAACCTGTAAATGGCTTCAACACTTGATCTCTTTGTCTCTCAGTCTATTCAGTGCTTTGTAGAATAGCTAAGATCCTTTCGAGATCTTGAATTGAAGCTAAAATTTGTACTTGTGAATTCAGCTTTGTCATCAAATTGATACCGCATTGTTAATCACTGTATCAGTCTTCATAGGAACACAGTTTATACTCATGTATTTTTTTGGAGTTCTTGGGAAATAGTTTACCCTCGTGCACCCGTTGGGAGGTAGCCAGGTTATTCTTAAGAATATTTTAAGTGATATTCTCCAGAAACTTCCTGTTGAAGGTAGGGAAACAGTTTAGACTCGTGTACCTATTAGAGTAATATGGTCTCTTTTTTGTTGGTAGAGATGAACCCGATGATGGAGAGGAAGAATTTTATATTCTATCTCCTGGTCTCTTGTTTGTTGGTAGAGATGAACCCGATGATGGAGAGGAAGAATTTTATATTCTATCTCTTGGTCTCTTGTTTGTTGGTAGAGATAAACCCGGAATCGGAGAGGAAGAATTTTATATTCTATCTCTTGGTCTCTTGTTTGTTGGTAGAGATAAACCCGGAATCGGAGAGGAAGAATTTTATATTCTATCTCCTGGTCTCTTGTTTGTTGGTAGAGATGAACCCAGAATCGGAGAGGAAGAATTTTATATTCTGTCTCCTGATCTAAAGGAAATTTGAAGTGGGATTTCTATTCAGAGAATCTGAATAAGGTTTGATCAATTGAGATTGGAAGCAATCCTAACTTTTATAGATTTGATTGCGCAAATCGAAGGTGGACCTCTTGTTCATGGAAGGAATCAAGAGGGGATTTTGGCTTTGGTCCTAACTGTTTAAAGGTTTGACCAAGATGGGAATTTGAGACGATCCTAACTGTTTAAAGGTTTGATC